TATCTCTGTGTGAATACATCCACTGCCGCAACTCGAAAATATTTCCCGGACCGGACATTTTTTTGTGTTTGATCAAGCTTATAGCTGATTTTTTTTGGTGTGTTTCAAATGAATCACATAAGGTGGTATTTATAGAAATTTTCGAATCTGAGCATTTACTAGGAAATTGCTAGGAAAAGTAGGTACAAAACACGTTTTTGATTTAAATTCGATATTTTCTATCCAGTTCCTCCTAATTTCGTAGTAACAAAACCCTTTCCTCCTAATTTCGTAGTAAACACTCAATGTCGTGCGAGCATTTCGAACTGCCATAAGCGATTAAAAATAATATGCTTCAACTTAGTTATAAAATAGTACATTGTTAGCTTATATAATGAAACAAATAAAAGTTAAACTAAATATTAGTATGAACTTTTCTAAGAAATACTATATAAACTTTAAAATTTAAAACTTTTAAGCAATTCTATTAGATAAATATATTGATGAAAAACATTTAATAGTTTATACAGTATGCTTACAAGAATACCCAGATAAAAAAATAATAATGAAACAATCAAACTTTTTTACTTTGTTGTTTATTATCAAATACAAATGATGAGATACCGTTTTGGTTGCTAAACCATAACTTTATATTATACTCTTTTGTTTTAAAAATTCTAATTATCATAAATATTTCAGATTTTAAACATTTAATTTCTACTTTTTAGTAATTGAGTTTAAGTAGATGAAACTATAAAATATGCCCTTCTTTATTTTTAGAAAATTTGATGCCCTTAGTCAATGTTTCAACTTGTAACATTGAGGCACGGCTCTGTAAACACTTACTATGACTTTACGAGGAAAGACAGTACTACGGGTTTACGAGGAACTGTACTTTTTCCTCGTAAGTTCCTCGTAAAATTACTACGGTCTTACGAGGAATTCGTTTTCTCGTAATTTTACGAGGATCTTACGATGAAATTTGAGTTCCTCGTAAACCCGAAGTAAGGGACTAATAAGTTTACGAGGAACATTTTTCCTAGTAAAATTTCCTAGTAAAGGCTTAGTTTTCTTGTAGTGAAATCTCTTGCTCATAACTATAATGAAACACGGACAACAATGATGGTTAGATTAACTTATTTGCCATTAATAAGAGAAAAGATTATATTCACTGGTTTGTTAAAGGGTTTCAGTATATCGAATTTTACCTTTAGTGATATCGAGTATTGTTTGGAGGAGCTATTAGATATGCTACATCTTTACTCCTCATAATATTTCTCTCATGTTTCTATTTGGGGAAAGCAATCGTTGTAGTTACAACGGACAAGAGTGGCAGTTTGGAACCATTAGTGAGTCAATATTAACTGTCCACAACCTGGATAGGGACAAAATTAAAAGGAAACTGGTACACGAAAATTTAATAAAGTGAACGACAAGTATCGAACCTCAAATTTAATACACATTTTTCACCTTTTCTGGGTATGAAATGAGGAAACGGATATAGACATGTCGTTATAAGAGAAACAAACTGAGATTGAAGATGATATAGAAAGCAAGAAGAATCATTTCAGTAAGAATCTCTGGATTTGGTTTAAACCTGAACATTTTGAATTTTGTGAAGGAACCCTAATCCCCTTATCTCAAAGTTGTCGATATGTTGTGATTAACTCCTCTTTTATCTACAAAGTTTAGGGCCAATTATTTGTTATTCCCCCAAGAGTCCATCAATCAGTTCTGCTGAGCACACAATTTACCAAAAGTGCAGGTCCATATTGTAGGAATTCATACCGATTTATAACGATTTATAAATCAATCTATGAATTTAATTTGCCTAGATCTCATGCAAATACTGAATTAAATCTAGATCTTAGGGTTTCGAATATACCTGATTATTTTGCAGCGGAAAGATAAATAAACCAAGTCGAGATTTCTGTAGCACTCCAAATGTTATGCCTCTACCGGTATCCACACGCACACAAACTGGATCGATACGGGATGCTAGTGCCGTCAAGATCAAATCTCAAAACCTTGACAAACTCCTTTGTCTTTCTCTTATTATTGTTAGGGTTTTAGTTTGGTGGCTTAATAATTATATATGCATACACACGACACATGCAAGCCCTAATAATCATCATTATGGGTAATGGGCTTTTAGCAAATCACGTGGTGGATTCTAAATCCATTAAGGTGAGCACATATAATTTTCATTTATCATATAAATATAAAACATCAAAACCCCAACTTTAGTTTAATCTAATTAAACTAAACTATTACTTGATCCAATTTGCTTAGGTGTGTGACCCTGTAGGATCATATAATATTAGCAATGAATTCTCAATTAATAGATTATAAGCGGTTTCTAGCAAAACATTATAACCACCCAATATTATACGATTGTCGAACCTCGACGTTACGACTTCTACTAGAGTAAGTACAAATGATTTTAGGACATTCCCAACAATGGATGGATGAAAAAACGCTGCGTTTATCTTTTGTTTTGTTGTTTGAGTTTGTGGAAGTTCTTTTACACGCTATATAAACAAATACAATCGAAGTGTACGAAAATTCACAAAACACGATTTGTTTTCATTATGGTTTTGTGGGTCACTAAAGCTATCACGCGTAACTATACGTTTAATAAGGACATATGAAGGTGAATATGTAGCACAAAAACTACATGGGGAATCTATGTGATATTTGTTCAGTTTTCAAATTATACATGTTTACATGATGATAAGTTGTAATCGTAGTCTCGTAAAGATATATATATATATGTGTGTGGTAATATGTGGTATTTGTTCAGTTTATAACTTCAATTAAATTTAAATCTCTTTCATAAACTTTTCTGTCAATCAGACAGAGAAATGTGTGTGCTAAACATATAAAGTTGACAAAGAGGATGCAGCTGAGAGACTTTCTTTAATTGGTCTATTATCTTGGAGAGAAGAAGCATCGCCGTTTAATAGCATCTCCTTTTCAAGGTGAAAGCAATAGCTCTCGAAAGCTCTAAAACTCACTGTAACTCTGAAGTCAAGGAGGAACAGAAGCTCCAACTCCATCCTGTTCAAGTCCGCATTGCTCACGCCTCCAACCCGCGCATAGAACTCGTTGTTGTAATGCCTGTAAAATGACATATATACGTAGGAATCTCAAAATCAGGAGAAACTACAAAATTGGTTATACAACAAGAAATTAAGAAACTTGATAAAATTTGGCTATAAAGCCCATACTTATTTAAAAAAAATTCAATTAACAATCACAATTATATACAGTTTTATAATTGGTCTAGTTAATTCATGATATATGAGAAAATAAAGAAAGCCTTACACGTCGTCTAGCATCTTGGAAGCAATCATGACACAAGTGACAAGAAGTCTATGAACATTTAAGGAGACAACCAGAGAACCAGGATGCTTATGAGCTAACCGGTCTATGTACGCATACCCGACCACGAAACACGACGGGCTACATTTTGTGTACTTATATATCCTCTCAAGGTACTTGGCTATACTTATGCTCGGTGCTCTCACGCCGTGAAATGCCTCCAAACTCTTCCCGAATACCTTTGTTTGGTTCGCTAACCATTCGTTTCGTGCCACGAGCTTCTCCATCACGTGGGAGATTATACTCAGTACCCTTGGAGTGGCGGCTTCCGTTGGTAGATCTTGTCCGACGACCAGGTCCGGTTCATCGTCTCCGGTTGAGGCTAGCATGGTGGGTTTTCTTTCTCGTTAATGGCCCATGTCGTTCGTTTTAGGTGTATCTTAGCTTGTCATTGGGTGGTGGAGATACGATTAGTTTAAAGAGCTAACGTGGGGACGTTATCATGTCTCGTCTGACTTTTGAGCATCTTGTGAGATGATTTTGACACGTGTCACTTGGTGAGAAGATAAGATTCTGATAATTTGGTACTTGCCGAACAAGACAAATCCATCTGTCCATGTCGTTTACCATCTCCAACATCACAGGTCATGAAAGCAGGGCAGCAGATTACCAGGATTGTGATATGCCAAATTGCCTACAAGGATTGTAATGAGCGATTTTCACAATGGGAATCGATTCTTGAAGTTGGTTCTCTACAAGCAAGGAAAGAAGCTAAGTTGATAACAAAGAGAAACTCAAGCGCACGTGAGTGTTTTTCTGACAGAGTTTTAACCAATTTCTTTTTGAATTTAGTTTTGGGAAACAGATTCGATATGAGATGCTTTTAGTAAACTTGAGACTGAACAGAAACCAGCATTTTAGTAAACTTGAGATTGAACAGAAACCAAAGCTCTCGAGAGGAAGAAGATGATGAGAGGATTTGGAAAATAATAAAACTGTTTCTGTTAATCGTAAAGTAACGAGATACAAGTGTTTATATACAAACCATAAACTATCCGGTACAAGCCGGTTCTAACTAAACCACTATCTAAATGTGTAAACCAGATCATCATCACTAACGACCAATGAAAGGAAAATTTGTAAGCTGGCGCCTGGCGACAACTATGACTACGACACATCACCATCACTAACGACGAATCACTGAGTTTTTTTCTTTCACAAAAACAGTTTCTTGCCGGAAAAGTAAGACAATCTCTTTATTTTTGTGTTTACTAGTTTTTCTTTTAATTGAATAGAGGAAATCAACATTTGAAAGGGGAACGTTGGAGAACTACTCGAAGAATCTTAGAAGATATAAAAAAATCTTCTAATGAAAGTGAAGAAATGTGGGAGTCGATTTCACCCTACTGTCAAATAAATCGTAAATAAGGAAACTTCGGGAAAAACCCTAAGTTTCCAGAGGAACCGGCTATCTGCGAGAACCGCACAACGAAAATAAGAAAAAGATAACTTAGAATTAAAACGAGAATAAACGAAAAACAAAGAGAGCAAAGAGTTTCTTATTCCGAATCTGCGTAGAACTG